TCCTTGGCTTAGACCCTGGTCGGCCGTCCCATGGTCTGCCAAGGCCCTGAGGCCCTCGTCCTTTTTCTAGGGCCAGGCACAAACTGGACGGAACCTGGATGCACACAAGCTTGCACTCATTTCCTCTCCGTAAAGAAATCCCCTCGGAGAGAAATTTAGACCTGGGCAGCATCTAACAGTCCAGCGGCTTACGTGCAGGATGGGGTAGGGCCTGGCTTAGGTTGAGTCGCACCGGGGGAGTACGCTCTTACCCGTCATTGACTCTCCTACCCAGCTATGTCATAATTTTTTAGAGGAGGAGTGTGGGAAGCTCACCGTCCCTAGACTCGGTCGTAGGCTAGGCGAGCGAGCCATGCATATGCCTGAGGATCTTCTTGTCCATTTCGGGCTACCGCTATTTTTACTTATCTTGTTGGTTGGTCTGTGATGGATCTCCGGTAGGGCAGGTCTGATCTTCAGTCGAGGGCTTTGTCACCCGTGTCAGTCTCTCCGGTACCCACAGTGGTTCTCGTCCCGATTCCTGTGGGAAAACACAAACCGCGCCTCGGTTCCAGCTGACCACTGGATCCGGGCCCATCCATTGTCCTGTCAGGACATCTTTCCACTTCACCCACCCTTTATGGTTGGGGGAAGGGTTGCAGTGCTCCACGGCTGGGGAGCAATTATCATTATTTAAATTTAAAAAATTGTGTGTGAATAGTGCCATGGATAATCGTGCCTTTGGGGCCAGGCCTTGGCCTACTCCCCCTTTTTGTTTTTGTAAAATTTCTTTGAGGCTTCTATGAGCCCTCTCAATGATTCCTTGACCTTGGGGATTGTATGGGATACCATGTTTTAATTGAACCTCCATCATTTTGCAGAACTCATTGAAGGCTTTGCCTATATAGGCTGGTCCATTATCAGTTTTTAATATTTTTGGTTTGCCCCATGCGGCCCAAGCCTCCAGGCAATGATTGATCACATTAGACACTTTTTCACCTGTTTCTGCTGTTGCAAATATGACGTGAGAACAGGTGTCTGTGGAAACATGAACATATTTAAGAGTCCCAAACTCCTGTATATGTGTGATGTCCATCTGCCAAACATCACCAGGGATCAAACCTCGAGGGTTTACTCCCATCGGTATGGCAGGTTTGTATGTGGCACAGGAGTCACATAGTCGCACGATATCTCGTGCATCTGCTCTGGAAACATGGAAATGGTTTGCTAGTGTCCTGGCATTGACATGAAACTTATCATGGAAGGCACGGGCTCGCTCGATTGGTGTTAGTAAGGTAAAAATCCATAACGGGCGAGTGGCAGTATCAGCAGCCGCATTCCCCTGTGCCATAGGCCCTGGCAGGGATGTATGTGCTCTTATGTGGGTGGTGAAGACCTTATGGTGTCTGTTCTGAAGCAATGTCTGGATAGACAGGAACAGCCCAGCCACTGTGGAAGTGGATCTAATTAAACCGGCAGTCTCAAGCACTTGCATAGCATTGACCACATACCTAGAATCGGAGACAATATTAATGGCTTCTGAGAACCGTTCAAGAATCATTTTAACGATCTGCAGTTCCACCACCTGAGGCTGATCAGGTTCAAATTGTATGGTAACCGGGGGCTTGCCTAGGATCACATAGGCGCCTATCCCCGTCTTGGAGCCATCTGTGTATATTGTAGTTGCTGGGACTAATGGCTCAGAGGCAGTAACCTTTGGAAAAATTATAGGGTGCTGAGTGACAAATGACAAGATAGGGTCTTTAGGGTATTGATTGTTTATATCCCCATGGAAAACACATCTCAGAATGGCCCATGTATCTATGCAGGCAGCCAGGGTCTTGATCTGGCTGGCGGTATAGGGTACTCGGATGGCTTGTGGTCCTGAGCCAAAATGTTGGACAGCTCTATCATGCGCTTCAAGGGCCAATGAAGCGACTGCCTCCGGGTAATGCTCTATGACTTTTGCAGGTGAGACCTTAGGGTGTATCCACAGTAATGGTCCTTTCTGCCAAATCACCGCTGTGGGCTGTAGACTAGTCTGTAGCAAACAGACATCAAAGGGTCGCCCTGGTTCAATTCTGTGTAAGGTAGCCCCACCTAAGGCTTTTTCCACTCTCTGTAAGGCAGCTCTTGCCTCAGGAGTGAGCCTCCTGTGGGAGGCTATATCTGGGTCTCCCTTCAGAAGGTCGAACAGGGGTTTGAGATCTGAATTTGGTATATGTAAATATGGCCTAATCCAATTAATGTCTCCCAATAGTTTTTGCATGTCATTTAGGGTCCTAACGCCATCCGTCCTAATGGTGACCTTCTGTATAAGTCTGGAGGCGACACTGAGGTCCACACCTGCTGACCCAGGAGTGGCCCTTGTTGAAGGCTGCCATCCTGAGCTGTCCTGTCTCTGGGGCGGGGGCCCGCCTGTGAAGGGGGCCCCCTCTGGCCGTTTTTTGGCCCTCTAGCATCTCGTCCACAAATACGGTTGCCCTGAGCATCAAAGACCGACCTACACTCCTCAGCTTTGTGTGATCCCCTCTTGCATCGCCCACAAACATATGGTTCTTCATTCCTAGGGCGAGGCCTAGCATCTGCATTGTTTGGGCAATGACGTTTAATGTGTCCTGGCTCCCCGCAGGCAAAACACCCTCTAGCCTTACATTCCCCTTCTAACCCGCGAGGTCCCCTCTGCTGTACAGCCGCGGCCAGGAGAGCAGCCACTCCCGAGTTGGAGAGCGGCCCCCCTATCTCTCTGCATATCCTAATCCAGGCGTTGAGGTCCTTGTTCTTATGAGGAGCTATCGCTGCCTTGCACTCCTTTGTACATTGCTCAAAAATCAGCTGCCTTACCAGCGGTCGAGCCACTCCCGGATCAGAAAATATCTTATCGGCAGCATCTTGCATTCGGGCCACAAAGTCAACAAATGGCTCTGTGGTACCCTGAATTATTTTTGAAAGACACAAGGAGGCTGTTCCGGCACCACTCACCTGCTTCCAGGCGCAGAGCCCTATGGCATTGATTTGTTCATAGACAGCGCCGGGGAACTGAGTCTGATCATCAGCGTGCTGACCTTCTCCCATAAGCATTTCCTTGTTCCACCCCCGGTTTCCCCGATTGGCGTTTCTCTCAGCCTGCTCTGCAGAGAACTCTGCGTACCAGGCTCGCCAATCCAGGTAACTGCCCGAGGGCAGACACGCCTTTGCCAGCTGAATCCAGTCCGCGGGGGTGAGGGGCCCAGAAGACAGGTTCTCCAGCATGGCAATGGTGTAAGGCGCAGTCGGCCCAAAGGTTGTAACTGCATTTTTAAGTTCTCTAATCTGCTTTATCTCAAAAGGCTCCCATGCATTACGTCCCTGGCCCATAGCTACTTGTACAGGAAATGTCCCGTAGGGGCCACTATCTATCCCAGGTGGTGGATGTACCTCATGAGACAAACGTCCCCCCTGCCAAAGCCGCCTGTAAAAATACCGACCCGCCGGCGGCGGAGCATAGGACGGCGGCCGTGATTGGGCGGAAAATGGGGGCCCGTGCATCACTTCCTGTTCTGGCGAAGGGGAAGGGAGCTCCCGGGCAGCCGCCTCGTGGCGAGGGATCGCTTCCGGGAACAGCCCCCAAGGTAAAGAACCCTGCGACTCCTTATCGAGCGACTTAGGCTCCTGACAGCTGGTCTCTTTGGCCTCCTTGCCATTCAACTTTCCCTCGTCCTCGGAGTCAGACGACTCCGAGGCTAGAGCCCCGTCCTTCTCCTTAGCATCTTTGTTCCCCTTGACGGGCCCCTCTCGGGAGCTCCCCGACTGGGCCTGCTCAAATACCCTGCGTACTTTTGTAAGCTCTTGAGAGCTTTCTCCACAACCACCCTCGCTCTTAATGTTACTACCTAGCATGTTTCCCATTTTTTAATATGTTACTCACCGCGTGAGGCCCAAGGAATCCGCCACTTACGCGTGAGCCTGAGGGGAGTCTAAAAGCCCTGTAGGTGCGCGCCACCCAGAGCCCAGGCTTATCCCCAACTCACCTGTCTCGCAGCTCTGTACTGGAGCGTTGTCCGCTGTCACGTCTCGGGGGTGATCAGTCCCCGTGCGGGCCTCCAAATGTCGATGTCCGCTCCCGGCCGGCAGGAAGGACACACGACAAAGTCTGGCAGTGGACAACCTTTTCTTTTATTTTTCTCTCCGTACAGCCTGCCCTGGGATCGCTCCCAGCCGAAGCCTCCTCTGGTCCGCTCCCCGCGGCTCCTTCTGGGCTTCTACTTCCGGGCTTCTTCTTCCCCCCCAGGGGTGGCACCAGTATATATACGGATACAGTGTCCAATCATGTTAAAGTGAGCAAGGCAAGCTGATTGGCTAACATCATCAGTTGCCAGGCAGACTATATTGTTGAGCGGGTTGCTTACGCGGTAAGCAGGAAACTAACGTGCTCGATGGGAGGGGTAATCTACCTCAGGCTTTACTCTTTACTACAGGCCTCACGTCCGCCAAGTGAGGCGACCGGGCTCGGGGCTGCGGCTCCCAACACTTACTAAAATGTGTCTGTCTTATAAGCTTCTTGCCTTAACAAAAGGCCTTGCATTTCACTTTCTGATCTGAAGCATTATTGACCAAGTCTGTAACCGTATCAGTACAGTTACATAGTATTTTGTCATGGAGTTTTACTTTATAAGCAAGTTTGTTTTTTTTTTTTTTTTTAGTACTGGGGATCAAACTCAGGACTGAGCACTTGCAAGGCAGTGCTTATGCGGCTGAGCTAAATCCCAGCCCATAAGCAACTTTTTTAAATGGCAAAAAATCCACTAGCTTATGAAAGTCTTTCCTTTGATATTTATTTGCAGGGAATTCATTTTCTGTTTTATTGAAAAGAGTACATTTACTTTACTCATTGATAGTCCAAAAACACAATATTGGCAGTTTTAATTTTGTGTAATATAATGGGTTTTTTGGGTGTGATATATTTTAAAACGGATTTACTTTTCCTAAGTAAAGTGCTTTTTAATAGTACCTCACAGTACAATGTCTTCTTTTATTGTCAGGTTGCTATAAAGATCATAGATAAGTCCCAGCTGGATGAGGAGAATTTGAAGAAGATTTTCCGGGAAGTTCAGATTATGAAGATGCTTTGCCACCCGCACATCATCAGGCTGTACCAGGTAGGTGACAGGTGGCGTGGGGCTGGGTACCAGAGACTTCCTTTGTTCCCTTGTATCCTGTTTACTTCTTGCACGTCCTCACTCAGTTCTTAATAGTTTTCTGTTTCCCCTGGCTGTTTACTAGTGACACCTGCTTTACCCAGGTGGGTTGTTTTAATGCGTTCTTTAAAACTTGATGACTTTTTTTCAGCAAGAAGTACTCAGAAGATGACAAGAACTTACTTTATTTAGGTCAGAATCCGAAATCAAGATGGGAGACCCTTTTAAAAAAAGGAAAACAGTTTAGAGAGATAAAAAGCTAGGAATGAGTAAAATATTATTTTTGTAAAAGGGTATTTAGAAATTAATTCTTATGATCTTGTTATGAATTGTGATGACAAAGGATAGTGTAAGTATGGTTTCTTGCATCACTTTACTCTAATGTGGTCCTGGATGTAGTTTTCCAAGATAGCATTTAATTACTTTGATAATCCAGAGAGAAATTCTTCGTCGTGGGAAAGATTTTTTTTTTTAAATTTTTTAAATCTTCCTAAGAAAGATGCCTGTTTCGTGCCCTCATCAAAATGATTCCCTGGTCTTATTGCAAAACAGTAAATCCAATGGCTAGAATTTCAAGGCAAATAGGAGGGAAGGACCTTGCCTTTGCAAGCTGGTAGAAGAGATATTTTGAGAGAGGTGGGGCTTTGGGGTGCTTCTCAAATTGTGAATTGTTGGCAGCAGCCGCAGGCTGTGCCTGCACTCAGGGTCAGCTTTGCTCACTGCTTTCCATCAGAACCATCGTCTCCCAAGTCTTGAGGGAAGTGGCCACCCACTTGGTTTGTTTGCTGCTGTTAATTGGCAGTAAATGGCTTGGGACTCTGCTGTGGGACTGTGTATAAGAAAGCGCATTTATGGCACATTGGGCAGGCTCTTGTAGACTCTTAATTTTGATGGGAGAAAAACATGTTGTATTGTTAGTGCGTGTGGTTAAGGCTATAACTTTAGAAGACTTTGCTGGCATCAGTTGCTCACATGATGAAATGAATTAGGCCAGCAGGAACAGACCTGTTGAAATTTATCAGACTAAATTATATTGAGCAACACTTACACTTTGCCTAAGAAGCGAGCTTGTGAAAGCTTCTGGTGTTACCTGAAGACCTGTCCTGTGAGCTCACGGGTGTCTTAACCGCAGCTCCCTTCCTGTCCTAGTGGACTGAATAAAGTTCTTGACTTCATCTTTTAAAATAAGTCATCATAAAGCAGTCAAGAGGCTTAGGCTAACCTTTCTCAAAAGGTAAATTTGCAGGTGTTAGTTCACGTTAGAACTGAATTCTGCAGGCTTACCTGTCTTACCCAAGGTTCTGCTAGCTTACAGAAATTTTCCTTCTCTAGCCCTGGCTTTGAACAGTGAGTACCTTCTTTCAATCTTCTTGCTTTGTTTTCTGGCAGGTAGTGTCATTAATTAGAGAGTCCCATTGCCCTGGTGAATGACCAGATGTCTGCTATTGGTAGCAAGATAGTTTTCTGGTTGGTTTCATCAAGGTCATAGCATGAGCAAATGCTATGTAGGTGACTGTGTAAGAAGCCATAGTTTTTGAACATCTGAAAAGTTTAATGGAAAAACATTTTCAGTTAACTAGAGGGATGGTAATAGAAAGAGAAAATGTACGGTCTGGCTGTATTTAACAATTTTTCCCTAAACACCTGCATATATTTAGAGCACTTTCTGTCACATAACTGGACATATGGAGAGAGCCCTTGGAAGCAGAAAGTGTAACAGTAGAGAGATACTTTTAGTATATAGTTTCTATAAAGAAAAATGATCAAAAAAGAACAGCATAACTAATAGATATGAAAATTAACTTAATATGTGCTCATACAATGTGAAACCGTGAAGAAGAGATCGATCACTGTGTCAAAATGTTGCACACATCTGGCATTACCACAGACACAGAAAAGAAAATGATTGGAAAGTAATTAGTTAAATAATTACTTATTATTATAAGTAATTATTATAAATAATTACTCATAATTATTGTATAATATAACAGAGGTCTAGAATTGTATTGTCCAGTGTGATAGCCACTAGCTACAAGAAACTGGTGAGTATTGAAATGTGGCTAGAACTACATTTTAAATTTTATTTAAATATAAAAACTCAAGCAGTTGACTGTGGTTTAAGATTATTGAAGTGATACTATTTTGGACATATTGTAATAAAATTTATGGTAACTAATCTTGGTAAGTAATAATAGAATCATTTTCTCCATTTTTACTTTTAAATGTGACTACTAGGAAAGTTAATTTTATGTACACATCACATTATATTTTTAATGTATAATACTGCTGTTGAAGAATATGTAATAAATTATTAACAGTGTTCCTCTGGAGGAGTGAGATGGAGGACACTGGGCCTTTGTTTATATAGTAGATATTTAACTGTTTATAATAAATACAATACATTCTCAGGTATTTTCAAAAAAATGATGAAAATGATAAAAAGGAAGAAAGGATTTAAAACACACTACAGTGAATTTTTAAAAACACAGAATATAAGCCGGGCATGTGCGTGCCTGTAATCCCAACACTCAGGAGGTTGAGGCAGGAGGATTGTTGCAAGTTCAAGACCAGCCTGGGCTTTGTAGTGAGCTTAAGACCAGCCTGAAATGCATAGTGTGACCCTGTCTCAAAAAGAACAAAAAAACCAACCAACTAACCAACCAACAAACAAAATCCCCAGCAAATGAGTGATTACTTAAAGGGCTGATAGTTTAAATTATTATTCCCTGGGCCTCCCTAACCCCAAGCAGGGTCTCAGTGTGTAGTTCAGGCTGGCCTTGAACTCATGGCTATTCTCCCACCTCAGTGTCCCATCTAGGATTACTGCAGTGTACTACCGTGCCTGGCGCGTGTTCTAATACCTGGGCAATGGAAAGGAAAGGTGTCATTTGTGTTTTTTTTTTTTTTTTTTTTTTTTTAAAGGCCAAAGTAATTCTGTGTAGTTCTTAGGTGGTTCCTGTTACTTTCCTTAAAGCTGTTCTTGTTTGTTTTGGTTGGGACTGGGAAAGGCACCTTTTTTGACTTTCTTACCATTGGTGTTGAACTTTTTAAGCTCTCAGCAGCTTCTCTGGTCCTCACTTGTGTGGAACTAGGTTGCAGAGACTTCACGGAACAACAAAAGGATCATGTCTCTCAAGTAGCAAGTGTTTTCTACTTTTAAAATTTGAGAAATATAGCTGGTGTGGTGGTGCATGCCTGTAATCCCAGCACTCCGGAGGCTGAGGCAGGAGGGTGGCTGTGAGTTTGAGACCATCCTGTGCTACAATGTGAGCTCAAGGCCAGCCTGAACTGCATAGTGAGACCCTGTCTTTAAAAAAAAAAAACCAAACTTGAGAAATATCTATGTTTTCCGTTTCTTGATATTCATATCTGTTCCCTCCAAAATGTTTTAAATTTCCTTTAAGTGGCAAACAGTAATGATTTTTAATGTTTCAAGTGACAAAAGAGGAGTCATTGATTTCCTTGTGGTATCAGCCTGTCATTTATGTCATTGTCACTCTCCTGTCTTTGTACCAGGTTATGGAGACAGAGCGGATGATTTATCTGGTGACAGAATATGCTAGCGGAGGGGAAATATTTGGTAAGTAAATTTATTGCCTTCTTCAAGCAGTTCTTGAGCACACTATCACTGTCCAGTGCTTTTGTCATTGAGCGGCTTGTCACTCAATGCTGTTCTAAAGTAGGTTTTTTAGTTTGCAAGTTGATTTATGAGAAAATCAAAAAAACTCCTAGGAAATAGTAATAGTAGTAGTTATTACTTGAGAACGGTGATAAGTGAAATAAGACCCACAAGCTCAAACACCACATTGTTTCTCTTCTATGAGAATCTTCATATGCATATACCAGTGTTTATTATATATACTATATATACAAATAAATAACACAGTAGAAGAGAAATAAATTGGAAATAGAAGTTCAAATATTACCCCAAATTACAAATTCCATTGTTTTAAAAATACATGTATTTTAATATATATGCCAGTCTCTTCCATTTGTACGACTAGTTCATCTTAGTTCTTTGAAAAGAAAGCTTCATGTCGTTGCTGTCTTTTTTGTAAGAATCTTTTTGGTTTATGTCTAGTACTATTATTCTTCTATCAAATTTTTTATTTTGTCTTTTAATTCATCTAGTAAAATTCCTCTAGTATATTTGTTTCCTTGACAAAGGTGTTTTGTTTCTTTCAATCAAGTGTTTACAATTGAGATTAAAGACCCCCAAAACCAAACATTCCGTCTGATCACATGAGCGAACCTGTTGCCAGGTTCTCATTGGGGTTGCCAAGTGTGACAGACAGGCCGGCTTAGGGCTCTAGAGCACCACTTAGAGCACACAGTCGGCCCTCATGCAGCGGTGCTGAGCCTTTAGAGCGTTTGGTGATGCACGCAGCCCTCTGCGGCATGCGTGCCGTAGGTTCGTCAGCACTGCCCGAGTGCCTTGCTCAATCTGGCGTTAGGGTTAGAGTGAGACTGTGTTCCTTGTCATGTGTTTATGACCCGTTTTGATGATTCTTGTCATTTGCCTTTAGTAGCTACTTTTTCTCTCATGCTCAGCTGTAGCACAGCATGAGAAATAAGCAGGAGAATTTGTTACTGGCAAGTGACTTTTTGAGGTGGCAAAAACTGGCAAAGGAATTTTCCCTGGTAACAGTGATGGAGACAAACAGAGATAAAGCGTGAACTTCCCAATTAAGGTCATGTGTCTTGTTTTTCCCCTTTTTCTCCTGACAGCCAGAGAGAGGTATCTGTTGATATATTTTAGGTTTATCTAATTTCTTTATTTTTTTAAGATTTGTTTTCAATCTTATAAATAGGAACACTTACTGATTAAGGTATATTTATAAGCATAGAATCATTTTATACATGGATCCTTATTAGCAGCAGGACTGTTGTTCTGAAGGGATTTTGTGTGTGTGTGTGTGTGTGTGTGTGTGTGTGTGTGTGTGTGTGTAACTTTGCCTAGAAATCTGTATTTTTGTGTCTTTAACAATTTTCAGGAGAAGTACTGGTCTTTTTAAAAAAAGACTAAGCATTTCTTAGTTTTATCTGTAATTGGTTTTGTGTGTATGCTTATGCTGAAGTTAATGGTAAACTTTCTACTAAGAATATAGTGTCAAAGGGAGTGTTTTATTTCAAAGAAACTAATGCATTAAAAGGTGTGAAGGACAGTATCACACATCGAGAAGATGAGTAGGTTTTGAGTGTCTGTCATCCTGTCTCTTGGAGATGCTGACTCTCTTCAGATACTGGTTCCCCTCTGTGGAGCAGTGTGGTAGGAGACAGACATGGCATCAGCATGTTGCCTGGCCCGTGGGAACCAACACTGTGAGCCTGCAGGTTCGAGCAGCAACACAGATGACTTTGTGCAGGATTTGTTGAGATCATGGGTGTCCTCGTGCAGGATGTGGTTATATGGAATTCCAGGAATCAGAAAATAGCAAGTCGACAGCATTTGGAAAGTGAAATAGCAGTCATCTTGCTGGGAAGTGCACTGTGGTCTGGCGTGCCATGAACATGCTATGATGAAACCGCTTTGATTCAAATGGCAAATGTGTACATCAACAGCTTTCCTTTTCTAGACACCTTTTTACAAGTTTTGGTCTGTAAAAAGCAATACTTCTTTCAAGTCTGAGCTACCCATTGACTGTTTTATCTCATAGAAAGACATCTATTTATGGAGAAACAATGGTAATTTCAGAAGAGACTAGGTCATCTAAATGTTCATAATAATCTAAGAACCAAGCACTGGACACATCAGATATACCTTGCTCTTTAGAGAAGTAGATTTCAAAAGTGCAAGAAAGAGCTGGGCATGGTGGTGCATGCCTGTAATCCCAGTACTCAGGAGGCTGAGTTAGGAGGGTTGCCTCGAGTTTGATTCTAGCCTGGGCTACATAGTGAGACCCTATCCCAAACTAAAAAGAAAAAAAGTACAGGAAAGATAACAGTCCTCTGGTCGAGGGTTCCTTATGAGAATAAAGCAGACAGGTGGCCAAAAAGAATGTACATTTGGTAATACTATTTTAAAAACCATAATTATATATGATGAGACACTATATAATATAGTTGTATAAGTAAATAAATACATGATTATTAGTGTTATTAATATTTTTAAAGTTGTACATGAGAGAGGAAATAGTGTCTAAGGAAATCATTCAGATGGTGCAAAAATAAAACAGTCTCACAAGGTCTGATTTTTGGAAGTATCTAGCTGGAAAATGAAAGGAGTAACTTAATCAAGAAAGTGGGCCTTTAGGTTAGTTAGACGTAGGTTTGAATCAGATCTCTACCACTATGTGATTGCTCTTTTATTTGGGACAGATTACTAAATGATTCTGGGACCCAGATCAAAGTTGGTAAATTGTAAGATCTATAACATTTGCCTCGTGATTGGCCAAGGTGAAATGTATAGAGCCCTAGAACATGCTTGCTTTTACCTTCATATTATAAAGAATGATCGTCTTCTGACATGACCATGTGAGGAACTCTGCTGCTGTGTTGCTCAATGAAATGGGTGGAGTTTTGTTTAAAAACACAGGCTCTCGCTATGTAGTGTGTAGTACAGGTGGGCCTTGAACTCAGTGGCAGCCCTTCTGCCTCAGCCTCCCAAGTGCTGGAATTACAGGTGTGTGCCACCACACCTGGCTAGCTGCAACTATTTAAAGAAAACAAAATAAAACCATTTTCAAGTTTGGGGAAGTGGTCCGACTGATAATCAGAAACTGAAGAAACTTTCTCAAAACAGATAAAAACTTCAGTAAGTAATGAGACGGTGTTTGGGCTTTGAACCACGCAGTGCTCCTACTTTGTTTCCAGGTGGAGAAAGACTCCTGTCCAATTTTTGCTGCCAAGTCTCCTCTCTCTCAGCAGCTAGAGGAATGATTTTCTTCTGTGGCGTAACAGGATGTCAGCACTGGCTATCCTTTCCCTAGTTGGCTGTGTTTGACACTAGGACCTGGGGAAGCGCAGTTGAGAGGTAAAGGGCTCCCTTTGCTTCCCAAGTCCACTTGTGGGATTGGACTGCGGTGTGTTAGAATACTGGGACCCGGGTTACTCTGACCTCAGAACGCGAAACAGTGGTTCCGAGGCAGGCGGGCAAGCTGAGAGGACTTCACACTGCGTCCCTCCTCCCTGCCTGGAGTTCTCGGCTCCTCGTGTGAGAGGGGAGCCTCTGGTGAGAAGTTACCGTTTGTCCCCACCTTTAGCTCCAGCGTCCTGACTCAGAGGTTTTGGCTGGGGAAAAACAGACCATAAAACCTATAGCTCCTTATTTCTTCCCGAAGGAACTGGCTTTATTTGCTGCCAGTGGTGAAGAAGTTCAAGCCTGACTGTGCTCTACGCATTGGCAGTTGTGGAAAAGGCATTTGAGAGAAGATTCACAAGAGCAGCACAATTGTCAGACTCTTAGTTTGCAGGACAGAACCAGGGACTTAGACTATCTGGGAAAGTCTTTCCTTCCCAGGAACAAACCTCAGAAGAAAAATAAAACATTGCTCTCAGAAACCATTTCTTTAAGAGATCCTTGATTTTATTATATGTGGATTGATTTATACCCCCAGGATGTTGTTTAAAACCATAGAGCAGTTAGCCAGCAATTAATGAAGTTAACTCCTGGGTTTGATCTAGAAAGGAAAGAAAGAGAAACTGGACTTGGTGGACTCTGTCCCAGGCTGGGGCAGGAGGACAGCTACAAGTTTGGGGCCTCACATAATACATTTAAGGCCAACCTGAATTACATAGCAAGAGCTTCTCTCAGAAAATAATAATAATCATAATAGTAATAATAGTAAAAAATAATAAAATAAAAGATAAACAAAGTTTTACTAAAACCACTGTGACCCCAGGGCAGCTGTGGGCATACCAAAGCTTTGTCTCTCAGAGGAATCATATCTCCATATTTTACATATGGGGGACTACACTTCATTGAAAGAATCTAGGTAGCCACTAAAAATGAAAGCAGATAGCAACAAGCCTCTGAAAATGGGAGGTATTTAGTACCTATTGTCTAAAACGTCCAGTTTTCAACAGCAAAATCATAAGACATACAAAGACATAGGAGAGTATGAATTATATACTAGACCAAATTCAGGCACTAAAATTTCATGTTAGAAGGGCTAGATGTTAGATTTATCGGGGGGAAAGTCTTAAGAGGTCATTATAATCATGTTCACAGAAATAAAGGAATTTATGATTAAAGTAGTTAAGAAGGTGTAGTGATAACATCACTTGAAATAGAAAATATCAATAAAATAAATTATGAAAAAGGACCAAGTGAAAATTATGGAGTTGAGATTAAAATAAATTTATTATATAAGCTTAACCAGAAATTTGAAATGGTTAAAAGAAAAAGCATACTTAAAGACAGATTGATAAGAGGCTATGCAAACTGAAGAACAGAGATTTTTTTTAAAAAGAAAAACAAAAAAGCAGAGACTTAGAGAAATATAGAGCAGTATCAAGCACATCTAATATACATGTGTGTGTATTAGAGGGAGAGAAATGTATGGAAACTGTGGTGATAAATGTAACCAGTTTGTCAGAAAACAATAACCTGCATGTCCTAGAAGTTCAAAACAATCCAAG